AGGCGCCGTAGGTCACGCCAATCACTCAACGCAGAAGTACAAACCAGGCTTAAGGCCGAATGTGCATTGTGCAATTTTGAGCCAAATTCTGATGCGACTCTTCTTTGAATCAAATTAAATTTCAACTTCGATATTTGCTGTGCTGTGTTGATGCAATGTACAGGAGGAACTAAGAGGTGAATAACCTCTCTTGGTCGGCAATCAGATAGTCGAATCATTTTATGTCAGGTCAGACATTTTGGTCGGCCCTCTTGAGAGAATCACGGAGATGAATCAATTGTGCTCTTACTGCACCCTAGTACTGTGAAAACTAGGGAAGCAACAATGACATTTACTTATTCTTCACTTGTCACAAACCTGTTTGAGTTTCTTTGTTCTGATAAACACAACATAAGATCATTTGAAAAATGATGAAAACCGGTAACCATTGACTTCCATAATGTTTTTCCTACTATGAATGTCAATGATTACTGGTTTCTAACACTCTTCAAAATATTTTATCTTGTGTTCAACAGATAAAAAAAACTCAAAGGTTTGGGACCATGGAAACATGGTGAGTGAATAGTGAGTAAATTTCCTTTTTTGGGACTATTTAGATTTTTCAGAGCAACATATTCAGTTAAGAGACTGTTTACTGTAATGTGTAGTGATAAATGTTTTGCAGTTACTTACCATAAAAAGTTGATGGAAAATTCCAACTGCAGTACTGGACAGAAAATGTGTTTAAACCCCTGACCAAGGAACTCAGCAAAGGAAACTTGTTGTACAGTACCTCAAATGAAAGGAAGCACATGATTATCATTTAGGTTCAAAATTCAGCACAAGTAACAACATGACCAACTTCTTAATCAACATATTGTTTACCGATTAATTATATTAGGCAACATTTAGATAAATTACTTATTAAACAAATTGCTGAACGTGATTAATATGTTTAGTTAGGGTTATTTTTATACCAACACCAATAAGGTTAGCAAGAACTTTTTCTTCAGTTCAACATTAAATATTTTAGCTGAATTTTCTTTAATGTTTTACTGAAGAAAGTCTGTGGGTAAGTAAACTAACGTTAATGGGGAATTTTTGGGTTTACTCCTTCAAAGTCAGATTTTTTTTTAAATCAGTGAATGTCACTGCCTGATTGATACGATATAAAGTGGGTCTCAGACCAGACAAAGCACTGCATTAAATTCCATTCTTCAACGCTATGTCTTAAAAATATGTACATTTATTTTAACCACAGTATTTTCCATGAAGTTTTAGCAGTCGTCTGCATGTGTTTTACGTTTGAACAACTAAAGGAATGCTTCAGCTTATTTAAATGATATTATTTTAATTAAATTACATTATCATTGATGTAAAAGGCACTTTATGAATATGGAAAAAGTCACATTAAGTTAACCTTGCGCTGGACGTTTATCGGTGGCTGACAAACACTTGCTGTGAATCTAAGTTAGCCCATTAACAGCATTATAACCCCAAAGACATAATTACAGCATCTTACGTAAAAAATACAGAACTGTATAAATGGACGCCTTTTACGTTAAAAGGTTATGTTACGCCAGTATGGGCACACATTCGACAACCTCCTAAGACAGTCAGTAGTGCCCTAACGCCAGACCAAATCGTTCTAAAACAAAATCAGTATGGTACTGTCCGTTCACAACTATCTAAACGCATGTTTAATGTTAACCATAGTAAAAAGCCACGGTAAATTCACAAAGGACTGAGCTAACGTTAGCAACGAAACTTTTTTCGTTTGGAATGGCGGATCACGGACACTGTCGTCACATCAAAGAAAATGCTGATTCTCTTGAAAATAGCCATTTACTTAATTAAAAACATTATATATCAAGTCTACATAACTACATTCTTGCTAAAAAGAATCTTAAATATATTCTGCGACATAAAAGCGAGATTTGTCAAACCGTGTGTAACGTTAACTGTTAGCTTAACTTGCGAGCGCGCTCGACGGCTGGTCGCTGTGAAATTTAAAAACGACCAAAAGAGACAGTCCGAACGAGAGACCATTTTATGCGTCTATGTTACCCACAAAGTTTTTTTCTGTAATAAACAGTCTGGTACAATATAAAATGTGACTTACTGTGCAAATGGATGTACAGAAATCCGGCTCTGGCGTCTTGCTTCCATCTGACTGGATTCTGTAAAACTTCCTTTGGGCTTTGGCGCCGAGGCAACGGAACATAACGCGCATGCGCACAAAGCTAACATATTTTTTTCTAATAGACTTTAATTAATTAATTTAGATTGGATCAAAACACATCTAATTCACTTAAAACCTATTAAAAATAACTTAATAAAATCAACAACTAAATTAAATTGTTTAAAATAAACTAAATTGAATTATGTTTAATTTAATAGAGGCCTAAATCATTTTTTTCAGTGTAAATACTAATATTTTGTTTCATTTATTACTGCAAAAATAGAAAACCTACAAGAAATGCGTGACAATTATCCCATGTCTACCCAATTTCATCTCCTATGCGTGCCTCAACACAACAGCATAGTTTTCATGTAAACTTTCCACATAAAACACAAGAGAAGAGAGTGACAGGTGTCTAGTTACTCGAGCACAGCACTGGAAACATCAGCATGACATTTGTGCGCACGCGCTCGGAGAGACCAGTTCCAAACCCCACGAAAACGGCCAGGATGGCGGTGCTGATGACGCAGAACCAAACGTCGTGATGTTGGATGTAAAGCGCCGTGACCCCGTAAACTGATGCGAGGAACAGACCGAGAGCAAACCCAGTGAGACTGCGCTTCACCTGCCGCACCGCCAAACTCCTCCGCAACCGTTTCCTCCTGAGAGACGTCAAAACAGGTTCCTGTGGAGTCATCCTGAAGTAAAATGAGAAAATATTTATAATACGTGACGTGACAAAAATTTATTATCAGTTTAGTGATTAAAGAGAGAGAGAGAGAGAGAGAGAGAGAGAGAGAGAGAGAGAGAGGGACGATTTGATGGAACCAAAAACATCACTGTTTTTTAAAGACTTACCTGAAAATCTTGTTGTGCTTGTAACTGGTCTTCAGTGAAAAATATAATCAGTTTTCATATTTGTTCCTTATGAAGCTCGTAATAATACATTTTGCTATCATAAATCTCATAGACATCTTAGTCATCTCGTTAGTCTACGAGAGCTCATTCTAACGGTAACTGACTCGTTGCATCTTTTAAACCTGTTTTCTTTAGCGGTGTAGCCTAGCGGTGGCTCAAGAAAACAGCAATGGAAACTAGACGTAAAACCCCCCATTCAAGTGCGTTTAACTACATTCTTAGACAACATCAATTTATTACTGTAGCTGTCATGCAGATATAAATTGTCATTATTTGTATTGGCAGCTTTGGAGCAGGTGTGTAAGCGAATTCTCCCACTTAGAGTTTTTAAGTTCCTGTTTGGGCCTCTGTCAGAGTTTTCTGTGGCCAGAAGGATCACAGGTGCTGTGTTTGGAGCTCTGAGTGGAGCTGGTAAGTAACTGCAAAACCAGTTGTACACTGCTGTTTAAATATGTATGGTCTGTGAAATGTATTATGCATTTATTTGATCAAAAATACATTATTACGACTTATATGAACTGATTTCTATTTTAAAATTGTATAGCATATCATTTATTCTTCAGAAGGCAAATCTGAATATTCAGCAGCCATTGCTCCAGATTTCAGTTTCACACTATTCTTCAGAAATTATTCCACCTGCTTTGAATGTTATCACGCGACTGAATGGGTGTTATCAGTGGTTATCAGCTGATGGCAGGGTCTCCTCGAGGTCTTAAAAAGTCTTAAAATGTCTTAAATTAAAAACTTTGAAAATTTTAGGTCATAAAAAGTCTTAAATTTGTTGAAAAATTGGGTTGTAGGACTTAAATTATTTTAAACAGGTCTTTATTCTCTTAAGTGTAGTTAAAGCTATCCTATTGGGCTGACACGTGTTATAATCACCAATAATCCATCTCTTCTTTAATTATTTATTAAATTTCCCATTCATTGTTTTATTAACGTCTGCCCTTACCCCAACCCTAAATCCAACCGTCACAGTAAAAACAGATCTGGATCTGCAGTCTTCTCTATTGGTATTGCTGATTAACCATGTGGATGGATGGTGCAGAAGGCCTCTACTGGCCCATATTTTATCAGCTGATAACATTTGAATCAGCTGAATCATTCTAATAAAATGCTTTGAAAATATTAAACATTCCATGTTATTATATTCCAAGTTAAAGGTTTAATGCATCCTAGTTGAATAAAAAAACGAATTAAATTTTTTTTTAAATCTAAATCAAAACTTTGTAAGTGCAATTGATAATTTCTTCGATTTGGGGTGCTGATCTTGTCTTTACCTGTTTTTAAGGTTTGTTTTTTGGACTCATTTACAATATCGCCATGACAACGGTACAGCATATTATTGTTGGATGTGTGTTTGTGGGTAAGTACACTGCAGAAAGTGAACATACTGTGTAACACTTTGCATTAATGTTGTATATTTTTTTACTAAAATGAATAAGCAATGTTCACATTGTTAACATTAGGTAATAAAAATAAAGTTGTTTGTTGTTAGTTCATGTTAAGTCACAGTGCATTAACTAATGTTCACAAGCATTTTTTTTAAACATGAATTTAAAGATTTACAATGACAGAACAGTGGTGTAGGTGTCATGTCATCATACAATGATAGAGCCATGTGTTATACAATCGTTCATCGGCTAGTTATTAAAACCTTTTGTGAAGAGTAAAGTTAACAAAAAATGTATAAAAAAAAAAATAAGTGTTCAAGTGTTCTCCCCGTGTACACGTAGGTTTTCTCCGGGTGCTGCGGTTTCCCCCACAAGTCCAAAAACATGTGTTCTAGATGAATTGGGTAAGCTTAATTGGCCATAGTATATGTGTGTTAATGAGTGTGTATGGGTGTTTCCCAGTGATGGGCTGCAGATTGAAGGGCATCCGCTGCGTAAAACATATGCTGGATCAGTTGGCAGTTCATTCCACTGCGGCGACCCCGGATTAATAAAGGGACTAAGCCGAAAAGAAAATGAATGAATTAATAGTCTTTCAAGATACATCAAAAAACGCCTGTAGAGGATTCCAGGTATGCCAGAAATCATCAGATTTCTGACACAAGTCATAAGTCAGTCTTTCTAAGGCTAAGAAAATGGCAATCTGATTTATCCACACTGGACGAAGAAATGAAGAAAAGGACAGAAGAATACATTTCCTTGCTAGATACATACAAAAGTGTAACAAAGATTATAGTCCATCACTAAGGTGTAGAGCAGTTTTACAATTCAAAAGATAAATAGCTGGAGATAGGGCAAAAGGTTTACCAAAAATCTTCTGAACTAATTTGTGGATTTCTTTCCAGTATGTCTTATTCATGTCACAGTCCCAGAATATATGCATCACAGTACCAGCATTGGATTTGCATTAAAAACAATGAGAAACATTAGCAAATATCTTATTGAGATGAACTGGTGGTAAATAAGTTCTGTAAAAGAATTAAACATTTTGCTTGTGGTTTGATATTGTGGTACCTTTGAAAAATATGCCAAAACAGACCTAAAGCCTTTTTTTTTTTTCAATAAAATTTGTTCCACAATCTTTCTCTCATAACTTTGAAGGAGGTAAGGGAAGAACACCCTACATTAGATAACAGTGAGTAAAAAAAGATATCTTCCTTTTGAGAAAAAGTGAAGAATACAATTGTTTTTCCATGTTAAAAAGTTTAAGATGTATTCAGTTATCCTTAAGGGACGATTCTAGAAAATGAAATATCTGGCCTAATCTGATGTAATTCCAAAATTATCATAATCCCTTTTAGTCTTCTTGATCAAAAACCAATGTTCTGAATAGCAGGGGGAAGATCAGGGTTACACGAAATAGGAGATTTTAAGGAAAGAGTATAAGTAATATTGAAATAGTTCACCACATCTTCCCATACCAAGAGAGTGTTTGATACTGTAAAGATATTGATGAATTTGCATTTTAATAATGCATTAGTAAATGTTGAACTATGATTAATAAATGCTGTAAAGTAATGTTCATTGTTAACTCATTCTTTTTAGTAAATCCATGAACTAACAATTACTAATAAATGTAATTGTAAAATGTGACCATTATTTTGTGTTTTGTGCTGTATTGTGTGATTGGGCAGGTCTGTGTACTCTTGGAGGCATGTTTTCCTCACTGTTTCGCTGCTCTGTTCTCCTGATGTTTCCTAGTATGATTGGATCTCATGGTCGTACATTTTTGATGGTTTTTGTGCTCCATGGACTTTATCAAGGTAAAAATCCAAGAACCCTACAGTATATGGGAACAGATCTTGGAAACTAGGACAGCCATGAATGTTCAGTAGTTATCCACTCATTAGTTGTGCTCTTCCCATCAGGCCCTATTGCGAACATCCAGCATAATGTACAGGATGTGGCCTCCTCCATGGGCTGTAACATAGACCTGCAGATCACACACAGCAAGCTGATGTGGAGAATGCTGACAGAGCCTTATGTGGAAGTAGTGCAGGAGATAGTGGTGAATCTTTAAAGTTCACATCGTCAGCCATTGTTTTATTTATTCTTAGTCTTAGATAGCGGTAGGTCACACAAAATTGAAAATATGCTGTTAATTAACTCCATCCAAGATGTTTTTGACTTTTTGTTCAGTGGAATATTGAGGATGCTTTGCTGAAACTGTTGTGCATTGTGATTCAGAAAAAACAAGTTAACAGCTGCTGGCATTTTGAAAGTTAAACGCATATACAAATTAAACTAGTTCATGCTACGGTTTGTTTATAGAGGCTGTCAAAGGGAAATTGCAAGTAATGGTCAGTTTCTTGCATAGATTAAGTGTTTTCTTTCGTAAAACCTCAATGAAGTATTATTTTTGCCTCTATGTGTTTATTTTAACTCTTAAAGTTCTGATAACCATTGACTTGCATTATATGTATAACCAAGGACTGGAGTTCTTTTTTTTCCCTTAATATGCACAAATGGTTTGCTGATTTTAATTATGTTTAACCTCAGGAGGACAGTGAAGAATTTCAAAACGAGGCTCAAAATGTGAGCATGCAGTTCCAGAAGGTTCGGGATGAAGTAATGGGTCAGTATGGATTTAACTCTCTTGGGAAGGAGTCTGTCCATACAGCCAACAGCACTCAGGAGGAGTATGTAGCCAAGACTAGAGCACGCTGTGACTGTGAGTGTCAATGACCAGAGAACAAATATTATCGACTGTGCTTGGGGTTTTAAGCTTAGCTTTATTGAAATGATGGCATGTGTAACAGATGTGGTGCAGCAGGGAATCACCCGATGTCAAGACTGGTTCAGGGTGAAGTGGGATGAATGTATGAATACTATTCAAGTCCCTCTTATTAACCACTTCATCTGCATACCAATGCAGTTCCACTTTCTCTGTGATATCATGAGAGGTAAGATTTACATGAACCTAGTAACCACCAATGACTTCCAGCGTAATACGTCGTTTTTCTCATAGTGATGAACCCTTGGTGCACAGAGAAGATTCCAGTTGAAGGAAACTTTGGTCAGACCTTTGATAAATTAAATGACTCGATCAACAGGCTTGCAGAACACTTCACCACCAATTTAGTTCTTGAGGTAAAATGAAAAATATTCAATTTTCAGATAGAAGGCTAATAACCTGATGTTTGGTTCATTTTTAAAAGAATATTTTCTCATGATTGGTCCTCAAGGAATTAGAGCAGCAAGCAGTGCTTGGAGTGAATGTCCTTCAGGATTTCTCAAAGGAGCTGAGCCGTGAGTTTCAGGAGAAAACAGCCATTGCTGAGAAGATATCTGGGGTTATTAACTTCCTTCTCTCATTCACCTTTATCACTGTGTTTACCTCGTAAGTTCTCCCTCCTTCGTATGTTTAATGGTGTTTGTATTTATGATTTTTATGGGCTATTGTATTCTTAGAGTATAAAATACTCATATATATATATATATATATATATATATATATATATATATATATATATATATATATATATTATTTTTTATATGACAAAATATTATATATTTATATATTGGCAAAAAACAAATATCCTACTGACCCACACACATATATATATATATATATATATATATATATATATATATATATATATATATATATATATATATATATGTGGATGGATGGATGGATAGATAGATAGATAGATAGATAGATAGATAGATAGATAGATAGATAGATAGATAGATAGATAGATAGATAGATAGATAGATAGATTGATAGATTGATAGATTGATAGATAGATAGAAACTGACAGTAATCTCAAAACAAGAATCTTTGTGGTCTTTTTTTTTTTTTTAGAAAAACATTTTATTTATTGAGCAAAGATGCACTAACCTGACCATTTGAATGCTACATAATAAATATTTTTTCTATATATATATATTTCAGACAGTTAAAAAAAATGTATGTAGCTCAATAAATTTAATGAGGGCTGAAAATTCAACTTTGCTCCTACAATAATTTATAAAATGTAAATGAATATAGTTTAAACTTTAAGAGCATTTCATAAAAGTACTGTTTTTTCTATGTTTTAATATAAGAGTATAGAAATTGTTTTTTAAGAACACCTGAAACCTGAACAAAGCTTGAACAATCAAGTTTTTATTGTATTTTTTTTTTTTTGCAGAGCATTTGGATATGTTCGTCAATATTGCAGAGACATACTGTTCGACAATGTCTACATAACTACTTACTTCAGACAGATTGACGCTCGCAGAATCAGAGCTGTAAGTTAAAACCTTACACTTTACAAAGATCCATATCTGTGTTTGCACTAATCTGAGCATCTGTTGTAGGAGAAGAGGCATTTGCTGCCGCTGAAAAAAGCAGAGCGAGAGAGTTTGATCAACCCATGGAGATTATCTATTCACGCCAGCGAGCTCATGCCTGTGGTACTGTTTGAGGGCCATATGCTAATTATAGTTTCTGTTTTCAGCATTAAATACATTATCTGTTGTTCATTCAGTCTGTTAAAAATGGATAACGGTTAAAAGTCAACTGTGACATTTTTGTTCTTGTTATGGCACCAAACAGAGTAGCAAATTTAATGTTTTAAAACACATTTCTAAAATATTTAAACAGAAAATTCCCCCCAAACTCATGCCATTGTTGAAATCAGCACTGCTGTTGTGCCCTTAAAGAAACAGAGCAATGCTTTGTTGTAGGAATAACACTATTGTGCCAGTATTGGGCCTTATCAGGGAAATCAACCTATGATTTGACCTAGATATTTGTGTATGTAATTGTGTTGATGTTAGTTCTTAAACAATGTCTCTTGTGCAGATTGTAGGCTTCCTGCAAGTTGCATCTCTAGCTCTATTTGTGTGTGTTTTGCTTGCTGTTGATGGAATCCTGTACAACATTTTTGACCTCATTCGAAGGCACACTTTCACCACATACTCTATTACTAGTGAGAACAAATGCACACTTGCAAATTTGCATAATTTTTCTTATTAAATTTTGAATACGTTTATTTTCTTTGCTTGATTTTTAAGGTGTTCAGCATGCAGACATTGTGATCGGTGGTGATTCCATGTTAGCCAGACTTTTGCGGAAAACTATTGGTGCCTTCAACACCTCATCCAACTTTGACATAGAATCCAGTAATTTGGGTAGGTCTATTCAAAACTACTGTGCAAATACTGCATCTGTTTACTTATGGTGTATTTACATGTTTGTGGATTCAGTTAGTTTAAAACAAACTACTGGATTGCTATGTTGCTGAATAAGCATGAATGCTGCCATCCAAACCCTGTGCACTTTCACTGAAATGTGTATGCAAAACAGGCCAAAGGCATCTAAACAAACCAAAGAGATGATATCATGCCACTAGATGTGACCATGAAAGGCATAGAATTCTCAAGCACAACAGATTTTTCTCATAACTGTAGCAAAATTGCCTAAAAAAGTTATGGTACTTCAGAAGAACTTCCCAAGTTTCCAGCTGATATAAATACCATGACATTATTATGCATTTAGTTCAGCATACAGCATTATTTTAGATGTATGTTTCTTTTTTATATCCTTAAAATGAACAGATTAAACAATTAACAGACCAGGACTAAATGTATTTATTTATTTTTGGTCAAGACCAAAAGAATTACAGTAAAACAAAACATGAACAAGTCCTTGGTCAGATTTTACTTTTAGATTTTAAGAATATGCACAAGAATGCACCAAATATACTGTATGACGAACAACTGAGATGATAATGTATGTTATGTGCCTGCATGAAAGGATCTAGGATCTGAAAGGTGGCAGTAGTCTGTGTTATCATTCCACTAAGGGAAACTGAAACTAGTGCTGCACACGTCCAAATCGTAAACAAATCAGCGTTTACATAAAGTTACAATTTTTACAATTTCTCTCGCACCACAGAGGAATTCACTCGTGCAAATACGTCTGTTAACAGGGCCGGAGTGGGACTCTTTTTCAGCCCTGGAGTTTCAAGCCTTAGACCGGCCGACCTCAGTTCACCACTGACTATACTAAAATAAGGTCATTTCCATTTCAGTTTCTAATCACACTATCACATCTTTTTTTGAGAAAACAGCTGTTTTAGAACTTCAAATGTTCAACAACCCTTACAGTATTATATGTCTTAACAATAAAAATGAAAAAAAAAAAGTTACTCAGTTGAGGATCGAACCTGGGCTGGCATCATCATAACCTAACGTGCTAACCACAGTACCACAACAACTGTATATTGAATGGTGACTTATATCATCATTAACCTGCAGGCTGCAGCTTGCTCACGAAGCTACGAGAAGATGGATAAAAAGAGCAGAGCTGCGATAAAATAATGAATTAGAAGGCTGTGGTCAAGTAAATAAATAAATAATTTTTAATAAGTGTTTTATATAAAGGTATATAAATACTGAGTCGGCTCGCTTACGGCCGCCGCATGTGGCCCGATTGATTCCGGCAGCCGGAGCCGGGCCGAGTGGTAAGTCTCCGAGTGTATCTGGGAAAGCTCTCTCTCTCTCATTTGCGCGCGCACTAACATACACACACACAAGCACCAAGCACACACACAGGCAAAGCTCTCTCTCTCTCTCATTCGCATAGCAATATTCGCGATATTGCTAGACAGCCCGCTCCCGTTCCAAATTAAACCTGTTACCGACCGCTCCCGCGATTTATTCGGAAATTTGCAGACCTCTACTCCTAGTTCAAAACACATTTCCACTCAGCCCCTTCTCTGATGACTCCACACAAGTGCAGGTTGCAATAGTCATTCAGCATGCATGTTTAATAATATTAAAAAGGTAAAGAGGTCTATTAATGAGACTGTGAACCTGACCATTTCATTGGAGTGCAGTGAGTGCATTATTCTCTGCTTCTGAATGGCTGTATTTGTATGTCGTGTTGCGTTTGGTACAGGCACACAAATTGCTTGTCACTTTAAATCTTGCGACAGTGTGTTGTAAGGACACGGTGTTACAATGTAACCTGCTCACCTAGTTTTTTATGTTTTCTAATATTTATATTATTTGCTAAATAATAAACACTTCTTGTGGAACTCGGAATCTGCTACTCATTTCACTTTGAGAGCCTTCCTGACTGAATAAATAAAATACGCTGTTTTCCACCAAGGCAACTCGGGGTGCTGAAATTTAATTGGCTAAACTGACAGTGAGCAGGTTAAAAGAACCAAAACAAAGACCGACGTTCTGAAATGTAACACACATTTTCAAAGCAGAATATCTTCATCATTGTTTTTTAGATAAACAAGAATGTTCACTTTGCATGTTTCTTAAATATCTGCAGACATATTAAGGTATTTTTATGCTTTAGAAGAGTCAAAAACTTACATAAAGCACCTGACATGATAGTCGGCTTCTTTAAGTTCACTCTTGATTAGTGTCTTTTGAATAATTAGCTGAGCAGCCAATCACAGCTGCCTTTTTCACACATGGCGATTTTACATGCTGAATCTCGCAAACTTCCTCTGACATGGGCTCAATGAGAGGCAATATGTGTCTCTGTCTTAATTGATGAACTGTTAATTAATAAATTTGTTAATTTACTTGTGATTAGCAGAATCTATCTTCTAGTACTTTTTAATTTCAGAAATATCTAGTTTTCAGATATTCATAGTGCCCTGAAAACCTTGGTGACTTTAATTCTCAGGCTGTAGTATCATTAGAGAGATTGAGAATGCAGTCTGAGAGACACTCAATGCCTCATTACTGGCTTCACTAGGTGACTGTTGGCAGTGGCTCAATGATTCAGTCGGTTTCTTTTGAGGCTAAGTGACGTCTTTGGTCTGGATGTCCGTTTAATCTGATCAGAGTTAAACTGTGTGCCTTATTCAAGTCTAAATTGGTCTAGACTGGTTGGCACACGGCATTACACATGCAGGCTGCTCTTGAGTGGAATGTATACAAGCACTAGCTTGGCAGCATACATGCCAGACAACATACTGTACATCAGTTAGATACATCAGCTATTTTCCTGACCCTTTTCTAGACTGGTTGGCACACGGCATTACACATGCAGGCTGTTCCTCAGTGGAATGTATATAAGCCTTAGCCTAGGAGCATGCATTCCAGACAACATACTGTACATCAGTTAGACATCAGCTATTGTCCTGACCCTTTTCTTAGGTTTTATGTTGTTAATCATAGGAAAGCGGGCATCACATATTTATCTAAATGTCACTCAGCTGCATTGTCAGGGATGCAATTGGTTCTTCATTATCATTATATTGCCGCATTGATTTTTCCAAGAAGAAAAAAGAGCTCTTAGTATTTTAGGATACTGAATCATTTAGTCTTCTGAGTGCAACCAAAAGCAATAAATTATTGGATGCAGTTCACATAATGGTCACTGGTGTATTCTAATAATACTAATAACAAAGGTTTTTACAAGTTGTACGTACAGTATAGCCTGTTAAAAAAAACACACCGACCACAAAGTAGTAAACTGTAGTGTACATATTTGTATGTTATAGGATGCATACTTAATTAAAACTGTTTAGTTTTGTGAATATTCATTCATTTTCTTTTCAGCTTAGTCCCTTTATTAATCAGCAGATTGAACCACCAACTTATACAGCACATGTTTTACACAGCAAATGTCTTTACAGCCACAACTCATCATTGGGAAACATCCACACACATACACTACGAACAATTTAGCTTACCCAATTTACCTATACCACATGTTTTTGGACTTGTGGGTGAAACCACAGCACCTGGAGGAAACCCACACAGAAACACCAACTGACCCAGCCGAGGCTCGAACCAGCGACCTTCTTGCTGTGAGATGAACGTGCTACCCATTGCGCCACTGTGAATAATATTGTCTCATTTTTATATTAGATTTTAAATTATAATATTACATATAAATATGATAAATAGGGAAAACAGTGGTTTGCACTGTCCCCTCATAGCAAGAAGGTCGCTGGTTCAAGTCCCAGCTGGGCCAGTTGGCATTTCTGTGTGGAGTTTGCATGTTCTCCCTCGTTTTGCATTGGTTTCCTATGGGTGCTCTGGTTACTCCACAGTACAAAGACATGTGCTAAAGGTAAATTGGATAAACAAAACTGGCCTTAGTGTATGAGTGCATGTGTGAATATGAGAGTGTATAGGAGTTTTTCAGTACTGAGGTTATGGCTGGAAAGGCATTTGCTGTGTAAAACATATGCCAGAATAGTTGGCAGTTCATTCCACTGTAGTGACCCCTGACAAATAATGGACTAAGCTGAAGATGAATGAATGAATATTATAACCAATACATTATATATAATATCACATATAAAAATCTTGAAATAATACAAAACATAATGAATACATCATTAATATTTGACATAAATAATTCCAATGAGTCTTTTTTTCTGAGATCTCTTCAAATTGTCTTCCTTTTTTCTTTCTTCCATTTACAAATTACATCATTTTTAGTCTATTACTTGTGTTTTTATGTGTTTACAGATTGTTTGCCACAGCCGCATTCTCTGATCCTGTCAGACTACTTAAGGATCTTCATCCCTCTTTTATTGATGTTCCTAATGTGTCTCCTGCAGGTGTACAGCAATCGACTGCGCAGGGTAATCACTGCCTTTTACTTCCCTAAGGTAAAACCACCGTGTAAGCCCAGATAACTTATTTCTCACTGATAAAGCACTCAGGCCCATAGCCAGCTTTGAGATTGCGAGGACCTAAAATTTGAATGTTTAAGAAATAAATTTTAAGTTCTAGAAATTAAACCTTATTTAAAATCATGTCTCTGAATACATTCACATGTCTAACCATGGTGTCTGCGGGATTTTAAAAAGTATTAAAAGCTGATAAATCAATTATGAGAAAATCAAAAGTTATTAAAAAGTCTTAATCGCATTTTTACAAGGTCTTACATTTCGTTTAAGCATTGTGCAAAGTGTTTGATTTCAAAAAAACATAAATATATTTATTTTCCTCCTAATATTAATAACGGCATGCTCGATCCACGCGATTGGTTCGGGCCAGGGTGTGTCCGGCCAAGCTCCTCCATCTGGGGGATGTCACGTAATTTGCGACGTAATTTTCGAAGGTAATTTGACGCTCTTCACATGTAGCAAAACCATTGAACGAAACAGACGGCGAAATGGAAAAAATGTAAGTTTGCGTACTCTTTTGTTTGGAGAGGACGAGTTTTAACTGAAGCCTGTCACTGAAAACAATCACGTAATTTATTCTTTCAAGCTTTGTGTCTTCCGAGCTTATCTGAGTTTTGTTGTGTGGTTTTGCTGCATTGATTTATTTACTGTTTATTAACAACTGTTTATTAAGTAGAAGGTTTGATTCTGATTAGAAATTGAAGTGGTGATGAGGCCTTAAAATATTCGGAGAAGGTCTTTAAAAAGGTGTTGAAATTATCTTTAGGATTCCTGCATATACCCTGCTTACTTACAGCAGCTGTCAGATGCAGCCTAAGGGAAGCATCTTACCTCATGTAGCCACCTCAGCTCCTCCATGTCGCCAGATCTAGTCATTTTAGGTTGTAGGGGTTTCAAAATGAATTGTTTCTTCAATGCATTGAAAAACAAACATGGATAGTTTGGTATCCATCCAGTAGTAGATCATAACTGATTATGACATACTGATGTCTTCATATATGCACTATTGTATTCCACGGTTGCATACTATGGCCAAAGACTAATAAGGGACTTGGTGAGGCAGGTGAGATGCAAGTGCAAGTAACTACAATGCTACAACTAATTAAAAAGCTCACAACTGCACAATTAAATGTATATATATATTTTAATATATACACATATATTTTAATTGTAGCCATTAATATAGCACATTTGTTTACAACCCCAGACTAATTTTCAAACCTTAACTTTGACCGTTGATAGCACCCTACGAATGACTGATTGTGTGAATGGGTTTGATTGGATTTGAGAGACAGAAGCTCCTGTAGTACTCCTGGCAGCGTGCTTGTCATTATCGGTATTGGTCAGTCATAAACATCAGAAGCTCCTTATGCTTTATTTGGCTAAGATGCTTAAATGAGTCACGGTTCTGCATGTGCTGCTGCTTTCTAATGCTATTCACGTTTAGCATTACATAACCCGACAGATGTTGGAATAATAGCTGTTAGACTTGGAGTAATGTAATGTGTGTTTGGCAAGTATCAAGCTAATGTTCTGATCTCCAAATACAATCTAAAGGCTTTTTTCTTTAGTGTTGCATTTTTATCAACAAAAAAGATTTCATTTATTTTATTAAATGACATTTTATCAGAGTATCAGGAATACGTTTTGGTATGAGGTCTCCTTTCATAAAAGATTTCCCCCAGCAGGAGAATATTTATTATTCCGCAGGCCGTTGTTTTGTCGTTGTACTCTTGGCACAGGAAAGCTTGAAGAAATGCTAAAGGTCTTTCCTAACATAATTGAAACAAACAAAAAGCACAATGACAGGCAAAATTACTTCCTCTGATATCATTTTTTGTTTACAGCCATTTCTGCTGATAAAATAAACTATGCACAGTTTTGTTTTTATGAGATAGGTGGTCTGGATTGAGAAAAAGAACGATTCATTTTTAAGCAGTTATTCATAAAAATTCTAACAAAATAATAAAACTGAGAGGATTTTAATGACACACACTGCAGATTTGGTTTCTTGGTTCACGTCTGCACTGTTTTTGGAGCACATGTGCAAATACCTTATGCAATCTAATAGCTTTAGTACTATTGAAACCGATATCCTGAATCAGCAAGTTCAAAGCCTTTGAGACACAGCACACAGTGCATACTTTCTCACATATACTGAGTGAAATATGTGTTCTCTAGTGAGGGTGTGGGTAAAACACTAATCAGATAAGAGGGTTTTAAAGTAATAGCATTAGATTTACAGCATTTTGTGTGCCCGTGCTGGCGTGAGAAGGATTACAGACCCCCTGTAAAGCCTTATTCAGCTAGTGCAAGTGTTGCCTCATTCACGAAAAGGTGTACTCTGGTAGTGTTTTCATTCCTATAATCCTACAGGTGAACCTCATAGGGTTTTCAGTCCTTTAATCTGAAATGTTATGTTCAGAACTTTTCGGTTCGCTTCTGATCTGTCATGATTTTTTTTTTAGAGAGAAAAGAAACGCATTCTCTTCCTGTACAACCTGCAAATTCAGAAGCGCATCTCTTTCATCAACAGACAATGTCATCGGCTTAGAAATCCAAAACAAACCTTTGTAATGGTATGTGTGATACATCTGCACTGTTGAAGTCGTTGATGAAAAACCTGTTTAGCTTTTTCACATCTCAGTTCTTTTGTTTTGATGCATTCAAGCGTTTAAACTTTGATGTGTTTCAGTAGTTTATGCATTTAACACTGAACACCTGACAGTGGGATCACATTACATATGCTTTTATATGCTAATCACTGAAAGAAACACTCCAATTATTTGAAAATAGGCTCATTTTACAATTCACCCAGATGTTAAACAGTTGAGTCTTACCATTTTATTATTAGATTCAGCTGAGCTCTGGGTCTGTTGGGGCATTTTTAGCTTAGCTTAGCATAAATTATTGAATCGGATTAGACCATTAGCATCTCATTCAAAAATTAGCTTCTAAAACTTTTTTGTTTAACACTTATGTAGTTAACAAAACTCTTCTGTAGTTAAATTGTGTACTATGACTGAGGGATAATTACATTTTTTTTGTTGATATGGCTAAAAACAATACTCTTATTCCGGCATAATATTAAAGCAACTTTGCTGTCATACCTTGGCTGCAGCAGGCAGAATATTACTTATCACCTCAAATTGTTTTGAATCTTCTCAGAAATGTCTTCATGGTTGCATGGTTTTCAGGTGCTGCATAATATCATTGTACCTATACTGCTCCAATGGGACACTAGGGCAGTGGTTCCCAAAGTGGGGGCTGGGACTCCCTGGGGGTTCACGGGACAATGATAGGTGGTCACTTGGTGATTTTCAAAAGTCAAATAATACCTTTAAATTAGGTTTTTCATAGGAGTGTGTATAGTGATTGATTTTATAGCACCATGTTAAACTTTCTGACACCTTTATAGCAATCCAATACATTCAAAATAAATACATGCCACAACTGAACATTGAGGATGATCTCTGATTGGCGGTCCAAAATTAAACCAAGAATACACTTGTGCTGAAAACATTGTGCCCACCAGTCTACCACCTATGAGGAATTTGGGGGTCGCAAGTCACTGGTATTGTTATTTTTGGGGTTGTGGGCTGAAGAGTTTGGGAACCCCTGTTATAGGGGACTTGTAAAATGAGCCCATTTCCAAAAAAGTGGAGAGTTATATTTAGTTTGCATCATGCGTAAATCTTCACAGATTTTCATTTTTACGCAATCATCTTTTAAGGTTTGAAATCTTAATATCAAACATGATTATGGAACCAGCCTGTCTACCTGTCAAAGTTTTAGGATTTGATCTGTAAACATACATTACAAGAATAAACAAATATGGACAAGGTCTTCTCTCAGATCTGTCTATAATTTTATTGAACATGGTGAGGAAAAAATATGAGGAAATATTGCTTCAGTGCTTTTGCTTACGAAACATTGCAAAAAATTGTCTCATTCTCTCATAAAATATTTACTTTCTCTTACAGAATTTGTGCATTCTCCAAAGAAATTCTGTGCTCATTTGTGAAAGCAGTAAAATATCCACTCCCCCACCCCCACCTCACATTATCCCCAAACTTAACATTTTACATGAGAACACAAAGTATAATTAAATGTGTTATATTCATATTAAAATATGTATCATATAGACCATGTGCATTTAGGGTTGCTATGAATCGTACATTCTGTAAAATCTAAGACTCATTTGGATGTTCTTCCCCTCTTAAAAAACTGGAAACTATTTTGTGGGATTATTGTGATTTAAGTAGCTGACAAGCAAACAAAAACAATCTCACCATTCTTCAAATGCTGCACCTCTCCAGCTGTAGCAGTAAATGCACAACAATAACCCTACTTAGTAAAATAGTCAGCAAATTCAGCAACCAAATGTATTGCTTTTATTTAATAAATCTGAAAATACACCTTTAAAGTTTGATCTCATATTTGGCTACTTCTCCTGTTCTCTGGCAGGTGCTGTCGGGTGTGTTGGCTCCTCTGAAGCGTGTGGGCTGTAGATTGCTCTGGTGCTGTGTGTGTGAGGGGTTTGTGAGGCAGAATCAAGCTGTGGAGTGCAGTTCTGTGGGTTGCACAATGATCTATTGTCAGCAGTGCTGGACAGACCTGGACAACATCTGCTGCATCTGCTACCCTCGTAACCAATGTGCACCGCAAGACAGCAGCTATGATTCTGAAGTCTATTATGGCTGCTGATAAACTTTACCTCCAAGCTTCAACTTCTTACATGCTGTGTTTTCACAGTTCCAAAGTCAATGAATGGCTGATGTTTTATGCGTAGAAACTTAAAAAGGATGGTAGATCAATAGACTTTTTTTATTGGTAGAAAATAAAGAATTTCTACTGTATAAAATATTTTAAAGCTTGGACTAAATAAAAAATATATATTCATAATGTGTATAAAAATACCTATGTGTTTTAATTTACCTGGCTTATTCAGGTCTACATTTTGTAATTGTAAGTATACCAATTCCCCTCCTATGGCCTTTTGGGACATCAGGTTGTCTGAGGACCCTCAGTATTCTTCTAAGCAAACTTCTCAAAATGACTTTTAAATTAGTGGAAACAAACCTGGTTCTCATTGTCTTGAAAAGCTTACAGGTCGCCCACAGATACAGATGTACACAATCTTGTTGGTACCTTTCAATTTTATCCAGGCCAGGTTTATTAGTTTGTCTTTTTTAATGCATGTGTTGATCCACAATTCGAAAGCAATATCTAATTTTTATCCAGTCATTATTAATCAATCATTGCTTTTCCACTTTCAAGTTATTCCAGTGACTGTAGATTTCTTTCTTCAGTGGAGGGGTATCAACGGTTTTGTCCATGTTTGTATCTGTGGGCTACCTGTAAGCTTTTCAAGACAGTGGGAAACAGTTTTTTTTCCACTTAATCAAAAGTCATTTTGAAAAGTTTGCTTAGAAGATTACTGAGGCCTTCTAATAGACACTCTGACAGGAGGGTAATTGAATAGAAGAAAAGTGATGCCACTGATGTTTAAGTAGATACTTAAAGAATGTTTCTTAAATATGGCAGAATATATCAGAATATACAGTTATAGGCAGAATTATTAAATAGATTTTCTTTTTCTTTTTTAAATATTTCCCAAATTATGTTTAACAGAACAAGGAAATTTCCACAGTATGTCTGATAATATTTTTTTCTTCTGGAGAAAGTCTTATTTGTCTTATTTCGACTAGAATAAGAGCATTAAAAAACATTTAAGGTTAATATTATTGGCCCATTTAAGCTTTTTTTTTTTTCGATTGTCTGCAGAACAAACCATCATTATACAATAACTTACCTAATTACCCTAACCTGCCTAGTTAACCTAATTAACCCAGTTAAGCCTTTAAATGTCATTTTAAGCTGTATAGAAGTATCTTGAAAATTATCTAGTAAATATTGTGTACCTATATTATATTATGTACTGTCATCATTTCAAAGATAAAATAAATTAGTTATTAGAGATGAGTTATTAAAACTATTATGTTTAGAAATGTGTTGAAAAAATCTCTCAGTTAAACTGAAATTGGGGAAAAATAAACGGGGCTAATAATTCCTGCAAGGGTAAATAAATGACAGAATTAAATTTTTGGGGTGAGTTACCCCTTTATTTTACAATTATGAGTTTACGAAAGTAAATTGTGAAAGACAAAAACACAATTTTCAGTTTTGTTTTTCTCAGTGGTGAATTTCATCTAAAACTTTTTTAGTAAATGGTCACTTTTACATAACCAAATTTTGTGCTTTGCATTTAAAGTTTGTATTGTGGAATTTTAGACATTTATAATTTCCATATAAAGCTGGAACCAGCTGGAATATGTTGCTATGCGATATACACCATGTATGTTTATATGTCATTTCAGATCTTTGCCAACCTTGTTTTGACCCCCTAGTACACCCCATCCCCTGCTTTAAGGGGTAAACAAATACTAGGCTACGCCCTCTAGTAGGACCCTTTTGTATTATAGCAGCTGCTGGTGAAACTATGCGTATAATCAGTCTTTCAGAGATGTAAATCCGCCCTGCCGGACAGCAAAGAGTTAAGGCGAAAGAGGAAATCCTATCTGGTTGGCCATACGGAGAAATGCGATTATACTGCCTCAGTTTAACGCGGGCGAGCGGACGGATTGCGCACAATAAGATCCGGCTCATAGAGAAAGCTTCAACGCGGTTAGCATCACAGACGAGTCTGCTGGTATCAAAACGAAACGAGCGCTACAGAAAAACCACTATTATTGCTGGGGCAGACCTGAGGTTTTGAGCAGGATGGACAGAGCCCACACTGGGCCGGGAGCGCTCTCTCAGGACGGACTGCAGTTGGGCGTCCAGCAGGTGAATGGTCAGGTGCGAGTTTACGTGTGACGGACCGCATTAACTTGATTAACGTTAGCCTGACTGTTTTTGAGAAGTGTTTCGATCAGAATTCATAAAGGCAAAATCAGTGCGTCACCGAACCATGAAGCAGCACCATCACCAGCTGTTCAGGTGTTTCTGGCGGACTCTCGTCACCATTCTTCTGTTTGAAGGCACACCTTTGATGATGTTCAGGGGGTCTCTCACTCTGACCCTACACAGAAATGACAGCAGCTTCACACCGCAGCCGGACGCGCGCATAACTCATTCCTCACACAACGGTACGGGACAGAACACTCCGCTTTGTTTTTGTTGTGAAGCAACAGTTGCATTAAAATGACATAATTTTCAAAGTTCCAACTAAAACAATTGTTGGTTTACGTTTGACAAGAAAGAACAAAGGTTCATTATTGACATCAGTGGTTCCATGAAGAACCTTTCACACACGTGGAGCCCTTCCATTGAGCAAAACGAGGGAGGAAAGAACTGTTCACTGAGAGGTTCTCTCAAGAACCTAAAATCTGTTGATTTGTGGTTTCACTTATGGTTAGGTTTAAATTAATCTGTGAGACGATCTGTCTAGTCATGTTTGATGACAGTCCCATTTCAAATGCAGATTTGATGATTTTCAAACTGTCTATACTTTATTTAATATTCTCTACATATAGTTTAACATATGTAATTTTAAACAATACAGATAAAATACTCTGCATTTTACAATTGTTCATTTAAATTAGGTTTAATTTATTTAAATTATATATGTTAAACACAAAAGAAAATATTTTTGAAGAATGCTAAGAAAACAATTGCTATTGACTTCCATGACATTTTTTTGTTTGTTTGTTTGTTTTTACTATTGGCATCAGTTACTACTTGTTTCTGAAATTCTTTAAAATATCTTGTTTTTTTATGGCATCACTTATTTTTAGGTTTGAATTAATTTGTGAGACAATCTTTCCAGTCATGTTTGATGACTTATTTCAAATGGAGATTTCATGCTGTCTATACTAGTTTAATTGTGTTTATACAATTGAAGTCAGAATTATTAGCCCCCCTTTGAATTTTCTTTTTTTCTTTTTTAAATATTTCCCAAATGATGTTTAACAGAGCAGGGAAATTTCCACAGTATGTCTGATATTATTTCTTTCATCTGGGAGAAAGTCTTATTTGTTTTTTTTCGGCTAGAATAAGAGCAGTTTTAAATTTTTAAAAAGCCATTATAAAGTCAGTATTATTAGTCCCTTTAAGCAATTTTTTTTCAATAGTCAACAGAACAAACCATCATTATACAATAAGTTATGACTTTAAATGTCACTTTAAGCTGTATAGTCTAGTCAAATATTTACTGTCATCATGGCAAAGATAAAATAAATAATTATTAGAAATTAGTTATTACAACTATTATGTTGTAAAAATGTGTTGAAAAAATCTTCTCTCCGTTAAACAGAAATTGTGGAAAAAATAAACAAGGCGGCTAGTAATCAGACTTCAACTGTATATAGTTTATCTATCAACGTATCTAAATTTAAATAATACAAATAAAATAAAGTACTCTATGCAATTGTTCATTTAAATTAGGTTTTATTTATTTAAATTATTTATTTATTTGGGTTAAAGCAATAATGCAATTACTATGAAAATAAAGTCATTCAGTGTAACAATTGTTTATATATTAAAAAGTCTCTTAAGGCATATTAACAGCAATAATGACACTTGATATTTAAGGACTGACACTGAGAGATTCTAGTATATACATAGAATATGCAAATTAGTCTGTATTATTAAATTAGTTTGAATGCCACAATGAAAATGACAGTGAAAGCAGATGCAGCACTCGTTTGCTTAGCTTGTCATTTAAATTTTGACATATTTGGCCCAAAAAATATTACTTCCAGCTAATATTACTTTCTACCAGCATAATGACATTATCAAGATGGGTATTCTGGATGGAGAATCCCAGCAGTGCCTGCACTTTATTTTTTAAAAAGCTCCTGTCTTACTTGGGCAAAAGAGTTCAGCTATTTTAGCTAGTCTAAAGGCTCTTTAAGAAGGCAGATCAACGGTGTCATTTACCCACCTAATCACAGGCTCAATGTTTGTAAACTGCTGCTGGAGTATTATATAGAACGATTTATTCTGGAGCATAATGGCTCTTCGATCCGAGCTGCCGGAGACAGAAGCAAAAAAAAAAAAAAAACATACGCATCCAAAACAGTTGCTCATTTCATTCAGGATTTCCATTTTTGACTTCTTTCCAAGTTGAGAATCCCAGAACCGTAATGTCACCCCTGAAAGTTTTGTAATTTTTGGCTGCTTGTTCTAGCTGTTTGTTTGATCCAGATTCATTAGCTTGTGCTTCTGGTGCAGTTTAGACGCCCTACAAACAGTGCCATCCATGCACAGCTGTCAGTCACAGACCAAACAACAGCTGCCCTCACAACACAGCTAGTTTTTATAATGCGTATTGCTCATTCACAGCGTGTTCCTGTTAGGACATCTGTGTATGAGTATGCGTCTGAGTAAAACCACACTGATATTGTGAGATGAGCTTGCATTATTACAAATGAAGAAACACCAAAGGCAAATCTTTTGTAATTGATAGATTCATGATCTCGTAAGATAATACTGTATTGTTACAACACTGATATACAGATGGAAAAGAGTCTTACTGTTCCGAAAAAGAAAAGAAACTGAACTGGTCATGTTAATTTCATTGTACTTGACATACATGGAGGTTTTTGACTCTATAGCCAAACAAGAAACTATTGTTTTCCCTGTCTCCATGTTTCCCTGTCTCTACTGCTTTTTAAAATAGGTTTATGGCTCATAGTTGACTTGTTTTAAAGTGATAGTCTAAATTGCGCATTCTGCAATAATTTACTCATTCTCCACTTGTTCAAAATTTGTTTGCTTGTCTTTTTTCTGTTGAACACAAAAGTAGATATTTTAAAGAATGCTGGGGGGAAAAAACAGTCAATGGCTGCCTTTCCCCCCTGCATTTTTCTAAATATCTTGTTTTGTGTTAAACAGACAAATGAAATTCATAAAAATTGAGCATCACTAAGAAATGATGAGGAATTCATACTTTTTGGGTGCAAAAATTAAAGAGGAAAAAATTTTTAAAAAAGCCCTCTTTGAGAGGGCTTGAACAAATGCCTGTTTGCATCAAAGGAAAAAGTAGGCGAAGGTCTTATTTTAATTCTAAATTGTGTCACAAATTGGCAATGCAAAAGAAACTCGTACAGCTCCTTTAAATAGACATTGCTTCATGTAAGTGCCATTCAGATATTTTGTTGCAAAAGATGTGAACACACTGACTATGCAGAGATTCAGTGGAGATCTAGAGATTCAGTTTGTGTTATGAAGCACTTGAAGGAATAGTTCACCTTAAAGATATCGCCATCATTTACTTACTTTTAGCTCTGTAAGAATATTATGGACTGAACTCAAAATTATAAGGCAACTTGCTGCAGAGATTTTTGAGTTGACTCAACTTTCAACCCAAGTACTGCACTCGACTCAATTTAAGTTGTCAACTCAAAAACACCCTGGAGCAAATTGCCTTACAATTTTAAGTTGAGTCAACTTTGTTTCTTACAGTGAGGATATTTCAACCCTGTATACATTTATATTTGAAAGAATGTTGGTCATCAAACTCATTTATTCCCATAGTATTTATTTTTTCAGCTATGGCAGTACATGTGTGGTGAGATCGGTTTAGTTACTGACATTCTATCAAATCTCTTATATCTCTTATAATCTCTTCTATCAAAACTTTCCCCTGTCTTTAGTGAAACAAATATGTATGTGTCTTTGGAACCTGCTGAGTGTGAGTAAATGATTTCAGAATTTACTTTTTGAGTGAACTATCCTTTTTTAGATGCCAAAAGTGATTGAAAACAGCCTTGTAAATGTACATATTTTGGTGACTCTTGACTGTACTGTTGCTTCATATTAGTAAGTTTAAAGAACTAATGTTGTCTCTTTCAACAGTCACAAACCATAGAAGAGAACAGAAGCCTCTGGCAATGACAAGGCCGTTTGCTTTTGTTGATGGAGTTAGGAGAAGCCTGAGCGATGTTTTACAGGTATGTTTTTGTACTGTCAAATAACAACAAAACAAAGGAATACATTTTTACCCTCAAAAAGTTGTATCAGAATTCACGCACCCTCATTGGGTTCCATAATTTATTTTTTTTTTTTTCACTTAAACCAGGGGTCACGAATCTCGGTCCAGGAGGGCCGGTGTCCCTGCAGGGTTTAGCTCCAACTTGCCTCAACACACCTGCCAGGATGTTTTAAGTATACCTAGTAAGACCTTGATTAGCTTGTTCAGGTGTGTTTGATTAGGGTTGGAGCTAAAATCTGCAGGACATCGGCCCTCCAGGAACAAGTTTGGTGACCACTGACTTAAACAGAAGATATTTTAAAGTAAGTAGACATTGATATTATATTTATTCTTACTATGTATGTCAAATACTACAGGTGTCCAAAAGTGTTCAAAATAACTAATTTTGTGTTTAGCAGAAGAAAAAAGGTAGACAGATTTGACATTTTGCTGTAAACAATCTTTTAATCTTAATAGGCACCTATTTTACCTCTTTTACCAGATGTAAGATTAAGCCTTTTGGTGTCTGTAAAGTTTCAGCTCAAAATAACCATCAGATTATTTATTATTGCCTCCAGAGTCTGCCCATTTGGGCAACCCAGGCTCATTCTAAAAACGTAATCCCGTAGACGTTTCTGGAGACTGGGAAATACGTCCCGGGAGGTGCGTATTTTTGCAGTTTTTGTTTTCGCAAATCCACGAGAGGCTGCTGTGTGCACTTTTTTGCATCTCAAATGTTTCACACTCATCTTGCGCTGTTCTTGCGTAAACCCACCAGAGGCTGCTGTCGACTGACCGTCTGTCTGTCTGTCTGACTGACTGACTAATTTATTGACTGGGCGACCGGCCAATCGACTGACCCATCCTCCTCCTTCCCTGAACCCAACCAATTTTACCGATTGACCCGCCCACTCACTTACTTCCCTAAACCCAACCAAAGCTTTTCAAAAGTCGTCCGGAAAAAGAAAAGCCCTCGTCTGATTTTTACCACGTTTTCGGATTTTACCATATTCTCTTTTTTATCATTATTTTTTAGGGGTTTTTCACCTTTTATCATGATAGGATTGTAGAGATATCAGACAGGAAAGCATTGGAAGCAGAGAGAGGGGAAGAATCGGCAAAGGACCTTGAGCCGGTAATCAAACTCGGGTCATTGTCGTAGTCAACTCCTCTCTGAGTCTCAAGTCCGCGACAAGATGCACACGACAAGCTAATTGGACAAACTGGTTGCGGCAGGAAAGCCCTCCACACGGAGGTAAGCGGTCAGCCGGTAAGCGCGAAAAGGAACGGCGTCATACCGCCCCATAGCGTTCGCTAAAAAAATTAAATGCAGCCATACCTTCGGCTACGTAATAAACAGTCTCCAGAAATGTCCACGGGCTTACGTTTTCAGAATGAGCCTGTGTTGCATTTAGGTGTCTGAGTACATTGTAGCTGTTTTTGTAGCCTGTGACTTTAAATGCAAATGAGCCGCTTCTCCCCGCCTACTGTTCCTACTTGCGTGTCTGCTTCTCTTGCGTTACATCAGATAAAAGTCAGTCAGTGATAGACACAGATGAAGCTGAAATAAGGTCACTAGTCAAAAATACCAAGCAAGTTTATTCGATGTATTTGTGGTGGAATTTGAAAAGCCTTTCTGAAATGATGAGTCTCACACAAATGCCGTTTACAGTACACACACATATTAGCGTTTACTGACACCATGTGGCCGTGGTGATTACAGCGATTAAGAATTAAATAGAGATTCACTGTCATTATTACAAATTTGCTCTTTTTTTAAAAAACATTTTAAACTTATAAAGCTTATTAAAAACAAGTTGGAACAAATATTTTTATCTCAGTGTATTTGAAAAAAAAGTTCTGTTAACATGTGTATACATTAGAGCTGCACAATTAATCGAAAAAAATCACGATCTGGGTTCGAACCCCTAGACGATCTTAATCCAGCATTTCTACGATTCTGTCAAATATATTTTCGAGTTCAGGAGGGAAGCAAAGGCGGCCACACAAGTCTTTTTATTGTTTCACACACGTAGCTCAGCTACATGGACACCTCCAAATGATGTTAAAAGAGTCACATACTGTATTTAAAAGGTATAAATCACCTAATAATGTCATTTTTGTTTTCATGTAATGCTGTATTCGCGGCCGGGAAATTTCACGTCACGTAAGCTGCTGACTGTGCAGGCTTGGCCCTACTTAATGATAGACGCGTGCGCGTCTACTTTAATGAAAAGAACCTGCATACCTGAGTAACTGGTATTAAAGTGGTTAATAATTTTCAGTTTGTGCCACAGAGTGGTCGTTTGAGAGCCGCGTGCGAAGTATGAACAGCACTTAGCATTGAAAATGAAACCGAAAGCGTCACATCATTTAAATAATCATGTCGCATTTTAGAGTTATGACTGCAACAAGTTTTTTCTTTCATAGCAAACAGAGTTGTGCATGAAAATAAATGTTTAGTGTCAGTATAACTACTCTAGCCTATATAATGTTGATTTTACCCGTGAATTGTCTAAAAATGTTGTCTATGACAAATTGCAAGCATATATCTCAAACATAATTCAACATCAGAGTTATTATAAGTAGAATAGAATTATTTATAGAAACCAGTATACCTACACATAATATTAATATTGTTGTTTTACCATATATTTGAGAAAAAACAATAATCTCATATTAAGCTTTGTTTTACATCTACAGAATCTTGAGAAAATCGTGATTTTTATTTTAAACAAAAAAAAATATTGCGATCCTCATTTTAGCCAGAATCCTGCAGCTCTAGTATACATGTAATTATAAAAAACATTGCACCTGTCAATCAACTCGGTGAGCGGGGAAAACCACACTCAAAATCACTGAGATTTGGGTCCTATTTTATTGTCAATAAAGTAAAAAAAAAAGAAACTTGTTGGGTTTATATCACTCCAATATGACAGTGGACACACTATAGAGAAAGTTCTGTCCAAATAGCTTATAGAAGTTGATTTTCATCATAGGCGCCTTTTAAGATGCGATGTTTAATCGAGTAAGACACATAATTTATGCTTATGTGGATGGAATTACTCATAACGGAAACTAGTTATAGAAAGTGTGTGTGCGCGTGTGCAGACTGAGGAATGGGGGAATTTGGCAGGACATGACTTCAGAGCTGCTCTCAGCTGCACAGGAAGTGTCCGTCCCCTTAATGTTGCCTCTAGTTCCCCTCCTCTCAGATCATGCTTTATGTCAGGAAGTTTCCAGCCGAATATGTCAACACACCTACATTCTTCCTCCAGGATGGGACAGATACGGACACAATCCCACCTCCCTCTCTTAACCTTTAATTACTCATTCACTGTCTCATTCATTCTTTCATGCCATAATCTCTTTTTTTACCACTGACATTGTGAAATGGTCTCTGGGTTACAAGCTGATTCATTTATTTTGTCACACACTGTAAAGCAGCCCCTCTGTTGCCTGGCTGAATCACAGAAACCGAGGCAACCATGGGCTGTTTTTAGCATGTTTTGCCGTGGAAAGGAAAGGCGGGTGATGATTTGTGTGTGTGTGTGTGTGTGTGTGTGTGTGTGTGTGTGTGTGTGTGTGTGTGTGTGTGTATGTGTGTGTGTGTTTGTTTTTGTGTGTGTCAATGAATACAGTGTTGATTATAATCAGTGTCCTCAAACCATCCACCACCCACAAACTAGATCAAAATAAAACAGCAATTAGATAAAGTGTTCATTTCAAGCTAACTACTGAAAATTGTCTTTATTGCTTAGAGGCGTACTTCATCCAAAAAAAAAAAAAAATTTTATTATAAATTACAGACACTCGATTGGTTCTAAACTTTCATGAGTTCGCTTTTTCTGTTGAACACATAACAAGATATTCTGAAGAATGTTGGTAAAAGGCAGACATCGACATCCTTAATACAATGGAAGTCAGTGGCTGTTTTTTTCCCCCCAACATTCTTCAGGAGACCTTCACTGTAAAAAGCGATTAGTTCCTTTACTTATAAGTGAATAAATTCATTGTCTTAAATGCGACAAGCTGACTTTAGTTTAAAAAAAGTGAGTAAACCCGATGTTACTTGAAACTGTTATGTTGATTTGATTTTTTTTAATTACACACATAGTTTTTTTTTAGTTTTAGGGCAACTGGCTTGCTTACTTTTTAAGTGAAGTCAACTATTCTTACAGTCTTCCTTTGTGTTCAGCAGTAGAAAGAAACTCTTGTTTGGAACAAGTGGCAGATGAGTAAACTGGCAGAATTTTCTTTTTTTGTTGTTTTGTTTTTTTTTATGATTATTTTTTAGAGGTTTTCACCTTTAGCAAAGCATTGAATGCAAAGAGAGGGGAAGGATCGACAAAGGACCTTGAACTGGGAATCGAACTCGGGTCGCCGTGAGCACTTCTGTACTATTTGTCGGTGCGCAGTACCACTAGGCTCTGACAGACTTTTTGATTTTGAGTGAACTATAAAAAAAGGCTGTATTCATTCACCTACCAAATAATTTGCTGGAGTACCCATCAGCCTCATGAAAGTGCACCCCAGCTATGTGTACACTCCACCAGCCCTTCACCCGGACTACACATCCCATCATGTATTGTGCTAATCAACCATTTACAGCTGAAATCAATCAAGTTTGTGCAAACATCCACATCAGTGTTATCAGACACTTTTTTTTTTGATTTCTCATTGCTTTAATTGTCATTTTTTTCATTAATATAAGGAAAGCATGGAGCACTTATTTATATTTTCTTCCAAATGTGATGAAGATTTTCCATATTAGCAAACATTAAAGCCATGCTTATGTGCTTCAAATTTCGTTTTACCTTCAAATGAAGAATGCTTACATCTTTGCTGTGAGATTCAATATTGAAATCATTTCAGAAATCTTCAGGAATCAAAGTGAACTATCACAATGAATGTTTTTAAAGTAAAACTTTAAGTGTTTTTTTCTATTGTCTCATATTAATTCACAAAGTTGTTATTATA